ACCGCTGTGGGACAGGGACAAACAGGACGACAGCCTTCCCCCCGCCTGCCCCAGACAGCTCTGTCCTGTGCTGGGGAGCCAAGAGGTGCCAGGCAGGGAAAAGCATCATCCCCCAGTCGGAGTCTTTGTTGCTTCTTCCTGCTCAGCACAGGGTGGTTGTGTCCCTCCTGTTCCAGTGCAGGGACCCTGTGGGAGGCCGGCAAGCAGGCAGGGCCAGCCCATGGGAAATAAAGCCCTGCTCCTGCAGTCAGAACCTAGAAGGCACTGAGAGATCCCCTCCCAGAGACCTAGATACACTCCCAGAGACCTGGATCCCCTCCTGGATCTCCCTGTGCAGCCAAGGCAGGTCCCCCCAGCCCTGCAGCATGCTGGGCTCGTGGGCAGGCTCTCAGCAGCACCTCTGTCCTGTTGCAGCCAGGTCCTGATGAAAGGAAGTCGGAGCTGCTGCCCGCCGGCTGGGAGGCCAACAAGGAGGTGTATACACTGCGCTACAAGTCCACGGACGATGCCCACGAGCTGCTGCTGAAAGCCATCATGGTGGAAGACAGTATGATCCTCAACGTCATGGTAAGCACCCAGGCTGGTCCCTGTGGCTTTATGGTCCTTCAGGTGCAGCGGCTGCTGCCGCCCAAAACATCCAAGGAACAGCAGGGCCCCTTTCTTAAATTTTTGCCGTTACTTGTTCTACCTTGCAGCGATGTTTGTCCCTCAGGATGGGGCAGACCCGGGGGGGTGTTAGGGGCTGCAGACCCGCCTGTGCAGCAGCAGTTGTGGCCCAGTGTGAAGCTGGTTGAGCACCAGCTGCATCGGGGCAGCGATGCGGTTTGCCTTGCCCACTCTGGCCCAGGCATTGCCCCTTTTGTGTCCCCTTCCCAGCTCAGGATTTTTCTGCAGATCTTTTCTCCTGTCCCACACAAGCACCTCCCCGGGATGTTTTTGCTTTCACCCTTTGTAGCCCTGGCTGGGGAGCGAGCAGGGAGAGCCTTGCTGTACGCTGGAGTTTGTTTGCTCCTGGGGATTCGGGCACAGCACAGGGATGTGGCAGGAAGCATGCAAGCCCATTCCATGTTTCCCAAGCCTCCAGCTGTGGTTGTACCAGCTCCTTCCCTCATTCCCAGCTCTGCTGACTCTGTGTTCCACCTGTCTTTTGCCAGGATCGCAGTTCTCAGAAGGTGGCAGATGTGACCTTGGCAGTGGCCGACTACGTCAACCCGGAGCACCTGGACGATTTCCACAAGTAATCTCAGTTCCCTGGCATTTTCTGCAGGAGAAAATGTCCCACAGGCATGGGGAGGGGGGCAGAGACCAGGTTAGGAGGAGCCTGGAGGACTCTCCCCCACAGATACAAACCCCAGGGGCAGTCCAGCCAGCCCTGAAACACAGCCAGAGCTCCCTCCTCTGCCCGCTCTGCACTGCTGGCATGCAGGCGGGATTTAGGGCATGGTGGGACCCTGGGTCGGAGCCCAGGGGAGAGCCACCCCACCTGGGAACGGGCTGGGCCAGCCCAGCACTTTTATTTCCAGAGCCCTGCCTGTCTGTCTGTGCTGGGTGGCCACTGCCCAGCGGTGCTACAGCTTCAACTGCGGCCTGGACGCCTTCAGCCGTGGCCCAGACACCCTGTGGCCTTGCTGAAGGCCAGTGCTACGTGCTGTGGTTTCCTCCAGTGCAGAACTGGTTGGGTGATAGCCACAGCATGAGGGAGTCCCCCAGGCTGGGTGGCATCTCTGCCCTCTGAAATAGGGTCAGGGCTTTGGTGCCACTGTGTGCTGTTACCCCTTCCCAGCCCCTCCGTGCTGCCAGCTGGGGACACATTTTGTGCCAGGGACACGTTTTGTGCCAGGGACGCTTTGGGCATGTCTGTCCCCTCAGCATCCCTCTCGCAGCCTGCCCAGCACCTTGCACCTGGGTGCCATGGCCTCCCCAGCCCACCTCCTCACCTCTCCTCCCTGCAGGGTGTACAAGAACACCGAGGAGCTGAGGACAAGGATCGCTTCGGGCATCATTGCTCCCCTCAAGACCCCTGCAGAAAAGGCCAAAAAGGAGCCTGAGGTTGAGAAGAAGGATCCTGGCTTGCCCCGGGATTACGACCCCCTCAGGGTCCCTCCCCGGCAGCCGGCAGGCATGAGAGCACCATCCTGGTGAGTAAAGAGCAAGTGGCTGCTGACGCTCCCCCGTTAGATGGGACGTGGTCCTGGCACAGCTCTCCAAACTTCACCTCTGGTCCCCGTCTCGCACACGTGGGTTGGGGAGCAAAGGGGATCCAAGCCCTCCCCAGCCAGTCTCAGCCTCCTTGGCCCCGTGCTTGGGTTTGATTTAAGTTGCCCACTGAGGGATGGCGTGTTCTGGAGCTGTGTGTTGGTTTGACCCTCCTTTGGCATAGCCTGGGGGTGTAGCTGGAGACCTACAGACCCAGGAGGGAGAGGGCAGTGTGCAGGGCTGGGGGGAAGGTGAGGGGTGGAAGGAGGGAGACCCTGCTCGGTGCTGGCTCAGGGACCATCAGGGCTCCAGGGCTGGCAGAGCAGGGACAGCAGTGGGAAGGACAATGCTGTCGTGGGGCCAAGCAGCCCCCGGGAGGGACCCCGGAGGGCTGGGTGTCAGAGCGAGCCGTGGGCTCTGGAGCTCCAGCTCTGGGCCCTCAGCACAAGAAGGACATGGAGCTGTTGGAGCGGGTCCAGAGGAGGCCACAAAAATGATCTGAGGGTGTGAGCCCCTCTGCTACGAGGCCAGGCTGAGAGAGCTGGGGGTGTTCAGCCTGGAGAAGAGAAGGCTGCGGGGAGACCTTAGTGCAGCCTTGCAGTGCTTAAAGGGGGCCTATAGGAAGGATGGGGGCAAGCTTTTTAGCAAGGCCTGTTGTGACAGGACAAGGAGTAATGGTTTTAAACTAAAGGAGGATAGATTTAGACTGGATATAAGGAAGAAATTTTTTACAATGAGGGTGGTGAGGCACTGGCACAGGTTGCCCAGAGAGGTGGGAGATGCCCCATCCCTTGCAACATCCCAGGCCAGGTTGGACGGGGCTCTGGGCACCCTGCTCTGGTTAAAGCTGTCCCTGCTCGCTGCAGGGGTTGGGCTGGGTGGCCTCTAAAGGTCCCTTCCCACCCAAAGCGTTCTGTGATTCTCTGTGGGGTCTGTGCTCATGGCGTGCAGCGGGTGCAGAGCTCTGCCTTTGCTCGGCACAAAGCCGGGGCTGTCTCTAAGCCTCCTGCCTGCTGCGGCCAGTGGAGCTGCCCTCCCAGGACGCTGCACCCAGCCAAGCTTGGGGCCAGGCCTGGGAGGTGCAGGCTTGGTGGAGGGGAACAGAGATGTCTTCTCCTTGCTCTCCTACCCTGCTTTCCCTTTGAAACCCTTTGCTGGCAAAGCTGGGAAGAGGGAACACGTGGCACCCTCTTCACCATCCCTCCCTGCCCCCTTTGTGCCCAGCCATCCCTCGTACGTGGCAGGCACGCTCCCCCCTCTCCTGCCCCACAAGCTGTAATCCCCTTGGGATGGAAGTCAGACAGCGTGGTGGCTCTGCCATCTCTTGGGGACCAGCCGTGGCTTCTGTCTTGGGTGTCACCTCTTGCTTCCTTAACCCCAGCGCTGTCTGCTGGTGCTCAGGGCTGCTCAGGGTGCGAGATGCTCCTCAGGGAGGCCAGGGCAGACAGGCTGGACCTGGGCACAGCTCTGAAACCGTGTTATTGGCACATACTGTTGGCAAGGAGATGCTAACAGCTGGCTGCAGGCTCACCGCCCTACTGTCCTCGCACTCCCGGAAGCGGGACTGTCATTGTGTCTCCGACTGGGACACGCTGGAGAGCCTGGCCTAGCCCAGCACCGCTTGGGGAGCCCCTGGCATGGAAACTCCCAGCGTCCACAGACAGCTCCAGCCTCGAGCAGTGGGCACAGCAGGGCTCCCTTCATCTCGGCAAGCTTCCCGCAAGCCTGCCGTGCACACCGGTGTCTGCACCCAGCTGCACCCTGGAGCAGGGTTGGGTCCTGCAGGTCCCAGGGCCCTTTGGGTGCTGCAGTGCTTGCCGTGGGAGAGCACCCACACGCACAGCACCGGCAACCACACTGTCTGCGGCTGCCCTGCCTGCTCGCTCCTGCTCGCTCCGCACGGCCGGTCTCCCCTTTGCTGAACGTCTTGCTGTGCTCTGTGTTTCAGGCCTTCCCCCTTGAACCCCTTTGCTGTTGGTGGGGAAGACCTGGACCCTTTTGGGTGAGTACAGCTGGGAGAGGTTGTGCTTCGCGTGCCGGGGGAGCATCCCCTGCTCTGCCCTTGGGATGTGTGGGGGTGGCTGGGGATCTTCTCTGGAACAGCTGGAGTCCACCTGGCTCAGGCGTCCAGCAAAGTGTCTCTAAGATGGGACAGTTGCAAATTGCAAGGGACCAATTGACAGTTGCTAAACCTCAATATGGTTCTAATATCATAATAAGATCCCGTCTCTTGCGTAGATGATAGGTTGCAATCTGCGTCTGTTTAATAATCAGCTTGTATTCATTTAACATGCAGTAATTCCTTCAGTAAATCAAAGCTGAATATGTCGTTAAGTGAATGTAAGCCTCTAATTTAAAATGTTACCAGCTGCTGCGTCTACAGCCCAGCAGTCTGGAGAAGGGGAGGCTTAAAGCCGAGTCCACGGATTCTTGAGTCCTGGTTGTGAGCCTCCCAGCTGTCTGAGGCACTCGAGAGAAAGCCTGGGCAGAAGGAGGGCTGTCTGGGGGACTGATCTTCACAGATAGGTCTCTGTCTTTGGTTTGGTTGGGCAAGGAGAACCTGTCATCTTCCATTCCAGTTAAAAGCACATAGTCAGACAAAAAACAGCTCTTGGAGTCGTTGCAGAGCATCCTGCGGCCCAGGGGAGTCCTCTTTGGAACGACTCTCCTGTGGGGATTGCATTTTTTCCCCTCTTGCAAGACTTGGTTCTCCGTGGGTTTGGCTAGAAAAGGGCCAGCTGAAAACGTCCTGCCTGGCTGGAAGGAGAGGCCTGGAGCCTGGGTGGCTGGAAGGAAACCTGATAGCACAAGGAGAGGGGGTTCAGCTGTGGGGGAGACCCTGCTTCTCTCACTGCCTCCAGCCCTTCATCAGAAGTTTCTCTGTAAAAGACAAAAAAGATTGTAAATGGAAGCAGATTTGTGCGCTGACACCTGCCAGCGCTCGGGCTGGAGACCCAGACTCCCAGGCATATGCTCGTGGGGCCTGGCTATCCCGGGGCGCTTTGGGCAGCCGGCCTGGCGTAATGGAACTCATTAGCGTGGTTGTTAATGACGTTTATGATGGCAGCGGTGTCCAGAGGCTCCAGCCGAGTTTGCACAAAGCTGACCATGAGGAATGGCACTCGCAGCGTGGGGCAGCTCTGAGGAGCCGCCGTGGTCAGCAAATAACTTCCAGGCAGCTCTTTGGAAAGGCTGGCGGGAGCCCCGGTCGGGTCCGCGAGCTCTTGCAACACCGCGCAGGGCAGGACGTGCTGCTCAGCCGCGAGAGCGGAGGGCAGGGACGGGAGTACGAGCTGGCGGCGAGGGCCAGCGGGTCCGGCACTGCCCCAGGGGACGGTCAGCAGCCCACCGGCACTCACCAGTTGCTGCTGCCCTAAATGGCTCCTTGCAGGAACCGGGGCGGGAG